AATGCGAAACAGCTATTACCTAGATCATTTATTTAGTAATGAGATCAGGAAGATAGGAGCAATAAAGAAGCAAGGGACAGTCTCAAAAATAAATAAGGGATGGCAATTGGATGATAAATTACCAATATTACCTAAGTGATTGTTTAGGTAGGTGGTAATATTGACACATGGGCAAAACATGTGTCAAAAGGGGGATGGTAGGAGATGATAAGGAGATGGTAGGATTAAATAATAAATATATACGAAGGAGAGGACAAAATACTTGTAAAAAAAAATTGAGAGCTGAACATGTGTGAAGATAGTTTATTAACCACACCCGTATGTCAGAGGTTTTGTGCCCCACAGGTGAACTAAAGGAGAAGGTGACCCACTCTATCTAACCAGGTGACTAGTGAGCATCCAGTCCCTAAAAAAGAAAAACTGGAAGCAGGCCTGTTGGGAAGGACCCTATCAGGTTATATTGGTCACTGCCTTTGCCATTAGAATAGCTGAGAGAGCCACTTGGGTCAACGTTACCCACTGCAAAAAGGTAGGCCCACATACCAACACCGTTGAACACACACAGAGTTAAAGAGAAGAACAGGAACCAATAGGGTCTGGAGGTAAACTCTGTTAACGAAGATCCCCTACCCCGACCTATCATCATTGTGGGGTGTTTATAGAGGTGTGAGTATGGGGTAGTACTAAGCAGAAAGACTGAGGACAGGAGAGGGTTGGCGGTTTTTGGGAATATGGATAACTTGGGTTGCATCATAGTCTCGGTAATGGTCTTGATATGTAAAGATCCACCACCAATTATGCTATGCCCTTACCATTGTTAAGAAGTGAAAGAGAAGAGAAGCGACCCGACATACTGACCGTCAAGGACGAGTGGCCTACAAAATGGGAGTCAGAGAAGGGCAGACTGTCAGATTCAAAATAAGGGTTGGGGACGTAGCCAATGGGTGGGGTACATGTCAATAAACAAATTGGGATTATAAAATCCTATTATATTCATGTTTGGACCCCACGGCGGATTGTTCCTAGACTCAAGTGTTTAAATACACTTGGGGATGGGGATATGAGACCGAGGGGGACTGAACATCCAGATGGGGGGTAAAGAGAAACAAAGACATCACCAATTATCAATTGGAGACTTAAGTTCGGAAGCACAGGAGAGAATTCTGAACCTTACAGCCCCTGTAACCGATGTGTGGTGGGCGTGTGCCAGTAAAGGCAGTGTAAGGCAGAGAATTCCAAAAGGGTGGCTAGATACATGCGCCCTGGTTCTACTGGTTCAACTAGTTAGAATTAGTCAACAGGAACCAAGGATTAAACAGATGTAGGAGGAGTTTTAACAAGAAGGAGAATAGCCCTATTTAGATGGATGCGATTGGGCTACCAAGGGGGGTATCGGATGGATACCGAGCTATGAAACAATTAGGGGAAGGGCTTGCTACCACGTTCTTTTGGTGGGTGACAATAAACAAAATTGTGAATTGGATTAATTATATCTATTACGATCAACAACGATTAATTGGCTGGACTAGGGATGCAACAGAAGGGATCTATTGGACAATTATCCGCCATCTCACTCTTATGACTTAGTAAAAAGAGGTTGGCTCTAGATCAGGCAGAAAGGGGTGGTGTCTATAGAATGGTAAGCCATTGTTGTACGTTTATCCCTAACGATGCTGGTCCTGACGGGAGTGTCTCTGGGGCCCTGGTTGGTTTGGATGGACTGTCGGCTGGGATGAGGAGCATGGCTGGAATGGAGGGAAACGGACTGTTCTCCTGGTTAGGTGATTGGTTTGGTGGGTACTCTGTTATGGTGGTTACTGGATTTCTGACCCTAGTAGTTTATGTTTCTAATATTAATGTGCTGTACTGCCTGTGTAATTCCTTGTCTGAGGAAGTCTGTTACAGATGTCGTGCATACGGCTGGTATGATGCCCCTCCTAGGGGCTCAAGAAGGGGATGCAGACACTGAGATGGGGTTGACAAAGGATGACCCTTGGTTTGCTATTGGTGAAGTGGTGGAGTGACACCCTAGTGGGTGTCTAAAGGGGGCCAAAATGTATTAATCTTTGTGTTTTATTAATCTTGTGTTTTGTGTTCTATTAATCCTGTGTTTTATGCTTTATTAATCAAGTTAACCATTGTGAATGTTTGTCTTTCCTTATGTGAAGGTTTGAAGTTCCTGGGTGGCTGGTAGCCAACCTAGTACAAGTTGGGTGTAGATGGAAGGACTGAAGGCCTTTTTATTATCATTATTGCCTATTAATAAAAGTGTGATTATTTTTGTTTGTATTGTATTTTAATGAGTGACACCCTCGTCAATAGGGGGATTCCTGAATTTCCCTGAAATGTCTTGTTTTGGGTTTTCTTGTTTTGGGTTCACACCCAGTGGGTGTGAAAAGGGGGATTGTGGGGATCTATTTTCTTATAACTAGATGTGATGCCTAGCTTAGAAAGAATACATTAATGATTAAACATAATAGGTTTGTACTGTACTGATATAAATTGTTTAACATAACAAGCTGTGATTCATGTGAGGAATGTTAGGGAGTAGGGTGAGACAGACTTGTGATTCTCACAGACACATACACACTGCCTCTTTGTTAAACCGCGCTCAAGGACGTGTACTGCAAAAGTGCTGACTTTCTGAACAAGTTGCAAAACAACTAGACACCTGGCAACAGTGAAGCGCCAAGGGGCTGGGACCAGCCTGTGCGCCAACGATAGGCTGAGTAAGTCTAAACCACGCTCAGTCTCTACTCTGATTGGCCAGCAGGGAGCGGGAACTAGTATTTAAAGAAGAAACCTATAACAAATTGCTCAGTTCTCTGAGTGCCCTGCGTGGTATTTCAGTGGACCCGTATATACCAACATCATATTTACCATTGAAGTGTTTGCATTAATTAAAATACTAGTATATCTTAGAAGTCGTGTTGACCTCTTTTGTTCCCAATACCATATTTGAATTGACGCAACTTAACACCATCCATGATATCCAAATGATAGTTTAAACGTATTGAAGGTATATAGTGTTTGTTTACATATACTTTGTTTGCAAACATTGGAGTAAAACAAGCTTATATTTTGGGGTCTGATGGGGTACGAGAGTTGAACTAAGCAAATTAGGCAATAAGTTATATTCTTCAAGGCTATCGTTACTTTATACATCCAAAAATGAATGTAGCAACTGCAGATTGCCCCTTTAAATGTTGTTTCAACACGTTTGCCCGAGTACTTAATTTGAGCTGTTGGAACAGGATCCGGCATGTCTCAGATTTGACTTTGTTCGTTCCGGCACATATTTCTGTATCCACGGACGAAGTGCTCGGAGCAGGTGCACTTTGCAGTGCAAGAACAAGGAAACGTATAACCCCTGGCTTGTCATGCAGAATTCAAAGATGGGCTGTACAACACGCAAAAAGGTAGGGAGTTTGGGTCTAGAAACGACTGGAGGGATTAAACTAGCTAGTGTTAGGTTCTATTTTCTAATAATTGGATTGATGGGATGACTAACTTAGAAAGAATGCATTCTTGACTGGGCTAATGTAGGCTGTGACACCTGGCAAGCTGTGATTGATGTGAATAGCTGTTTTAGGGGGTAAAGTGAGATAGGGATTGTGTCTCCAGATGCTGGAGTATACTGGTTCTTTGTGATCTGTGAACCTTCCTTGGACATAGGAATGGTGTCTAAGGGAGCTGGCTCTTCTCACTATAACAGGTTGTTATGATAAACTTGTGCCTGGCTGCAGTGTGCAACAAATGGAGCGCCGAGGAGATGGGACCAACCCCTGAACCAACGGATTGGCTGAGTAAAGTTTAAACCACACTCAGTCCTCTACTCTACTTGGCCAGCAGAGAGGTGGGAAACTCCCTCTGTCAGAGTATTTGAGTATTGAATCTGAAACAATGTTTTAGTTCTCTGGGGTGCCCTGCGAGGTATCTCAGAGAGCCCGTATATACGAAACATCATATTTACCATTGAAGGTTTTTGCATTAATTAAAATAACTAGTATATCTTAGAAGTCGTGTTGACCTCTTTTGTTCCTAATACCAGATTTGAATTGACGCGACTTTGACACTAGCAAAAGTGTGGGTGGAATGTACAGTAACATCCTCTGCCTCTGACATTTAAAAAACTAAGAGCCCTCAGAAAAAAGGTTTCTGAACATGCCCGAACCAAGGCGCATTTGGTGGCAGCAAGCATTGTAGACAAGGCTAAAGAAGACACCCAGTAACACTCTAAATGAAAAAGTAGACACAACTGCCAGAGTCTTCCCGAACAGCCGTAGAAGGAGACTAAACGTCACAGCCACAGGCCCGTTCATGGCCTTGCACAAGAAATTGACTGTTAAATGGATTTGACATGGGGAGAGTCATTGTGGAAGGGAAGGTAGGAAAATTGTTTTCCGTTACAAACTTGTTCTGTACTGTGAAGTTAATCGGAATGTGTGCTTCATATTATCACATAGGCCTATATATTATCATATTTGGGTTCTGCTGTAGCCTATATTGATTTATTTTATTCGAAGTTATATTCGGATATTGTGATATTTGTTCTACTGCTACATTGATGTTTTGAAAATTATTTTATATTCGGGTCTTGTAAACCCCACAGATGAGTATGTGTGCATATGGCGGGTGTTCTGTAGTGACGTCTGAAATTGTTGCTGTACAACTGATGTGACTTGTGTAAACCCCGCAGCTACACTAAAGTATGTGGGCATACAACGTCTAAAATGCTTTGAATTAATCTGCACCTTGGAGAGTGCTGTCCATTTCACCATAGATAGTAGGCTACTTGGCGGTTTACTCTGTCTGCTGCGCTGCTACATTGTGTTTGGGACTTTTTTTTCTCAATGTGTTCCGGTACCTCAGAGTCCCCCCCCCCACACACACACCCCCGCTCACTATGTGTTCCGGGACCTCCCGATGTAGCTATGCGAATCCTGTTTATAAATTATTTCAGAATAGAAATGTAGACTTTTATTTTTAATGGCTGTGATTTTTGAATTATGTACAGTTGCATTGGACATGCCATGGGGACAAGGCAACACTGTTCATTAACGATATCAACCAAACCAGGAAATGTCCAAACACATGGAGAGCATCATGTCACGGTGAGACTATTAACCAGTTAAATGTAACTAAATGTAATCGAAAATGTCATCAACGTAATCCCCAAAAGTAATTATGTATCATGAGGGCCATAAAAAATAACCAGTAATGCTGCATACTCAAAGCAAGGTTAACATCTCACCTTTCTGGTAATTTTTTTTAATAAATTGCTGAGGTGTAGTCATTTTTGAGGACACAAGCTCAAGTACACAGTACAAATATGATACACATATGAAAATATGAAATATTTTATATGATGTATTTCCTATTCAACAAAACTGTATGACTATGGCTTGAAATGACATGCTTTCTAAATATAGTATAATGAAATTATAAAATGTATAATATAAGATTTCACCTTCCTTATAACTGTAAATTACATATTTGTATGTTTAGTGTTAGAGAAAATGTGCATATTTTTAAAAGGTCTCTCTTGATCAAAATGTCTGCCCCCATGGCTGTGAACATCTCACAGAGATGTAGCTTGGCTTCCTGAACTCGTTAGGAACTCGCCTTTCATCTTATATAAATCCTGGCCCTCTATGACAAACAGAATGTGTTCTTTTTATGTATAAAAAAAAAAAGCTATGAATTATTTTAAATGAATGGCTATAACTCGATCTCTGAATGTGCTACCATGATGAAACCACTCTCTCCTGCTTCGCTATGATGTAACGATTGCAGGCATGTGCATTGTCAGTGGCTGTGACATAGGGTTCAGGAGTTGATGGACAGTCGGTAGAGCGAATTAAATGGTTTCAGTTTTCACATCCTACATCACACAGGCTCAGAAAAAAAGACTACTGTGTCTGTGGGAACCAGGGCTTTCGCTCAATGCAAGCCATTTCGATCTACGGTGTACACAGATCGATTTATAAGCGAAAATGTCGGTCAGAACCGGTACCAGAACCACGCGGGTCACATAAACAGGGGACCTTACATCTAAGAGGTTTAATAACTGGGGCAGAAAGGAGAGTGTTGTTGGGCTACTTTACAAAGACAACAGAGGGCAGTGTTGACAAATAATCCAAGGTATTCATTCAATAAAGGCTGTTCAATAAAAGGATAAAGTTGGTGGATAGGCACTCTGTAAATCTACAACTTCGTAATTTTATATACTGATTATCCTGATTCAATAGTAAAGCTCCTAACTGAAGCCCACTTTTGTTACAGATCAGAGTTAACAAGGGAGCTCTTGGGCCGGTACATCTCAGACACCCTCAGCCACATTCACACAGTGAGGGAGTTCTGCGACAGGCATTCCAAATGGGCCCTTCAGAGGGAGACAGAACTGGAAATGATGAGGGACATCAAGGAGAGGGCAGACAGAATCGACCTTAAGTTCGACCATGTCCGTAACTCAGCGACCAAGGCCAAGGCGTTTGGGGAGTTCTTATGGAGCGTACTGACCCAGGTGACTGCAGACAGTAGGCGTGAGGAGCTGGAGAAGGAGCTGGGTGCTGTACTAAAGGACACTCTGGGAGGCCTGGAGAAGCTGGATTACTTCCTGGATGCTATGGAGTGTCTGGCAGTCACCTGTCTGTTCGTGTTTGAGGAGAACAGGTTCCTCTGTCTGCCTCTGGGGACGAGTACTGCCAGTGTTCAGGCTGTCATCATTGCTGCCAGAATAGCCTGCCCTCTCCTCATCCACTTTAAGAGGGATGCTAAGGTCTTCTTTATGCCCAGCCTGCTCAATGTAGAGGTGCTGGCCTTCCAGCTGGATAGATACATACAAATCAGCCAGCAGCTCTGTAAGAGGATGGAGAAAGGGTAAGTGGAGATCCCATCACAAATGCTTCAACATTAACTTATGTAATGTTCTTCATTGCCATTTTACAAACACTTGATGTCAATTTTTTTTTACTGTTAGATTACAGATCAGACCACAGCTTTAGAGTAAACTTGGGTAAGATCCCTCACACAGTTTTAATATCAGCATTTATTTTATATTAGCATAATTGTACTATTTTTGTCCTTTCTTCTCAGAAATGTAATTTGACAAGGTTCTTGGGCTTTTGTGATATAATTCAAAAGCCACATAATAATCTAATGAATATAATGTAATGTTGAAATTAATATTCATTGTTACAGTAGCTACATCAGTCAAATGCTGTTTTGGAAAAAGAAGAATGACATCCCTGTGGTCAACCTTGGTGATGTGAGGGAAGAGTCCATACAAAATATGCTGGATCATTTGAATCAGCTGAGTGAGATCAGGTGAGATTAGTTTGGTTGTTCTCTTTAAACTTCTGTTGATATTTTTATTTGATTGGTATACAGTAAATAGATGTTGAATCTGTGTCCCCTCTGTCAGGATGGACCAGCACCTCAGATTGACGTTCCTGTTCCAAGAGGCTGCTCAGTGCTTCATTGGCCGGTTCAGCCAGCGCCGACCCAGGATGGAGCAGTTTCTGACCAAGCTGGAGGAGAGTGCTGTGCAGCTGGACAGGATGAAGCTGGGGGCTAAGATCTCCAGTGTGGCAGGCAGCTCAGTGGGGGTGGCTGGAGGGATCCTATCCATTGTGGGCTTAGCTCTGACCCCTGTCACTGCTGGGGTGTCACTGGCTCTCACCATTGCAGGGGTCAGCCTGGGGGTCACCATTGGGGTCAACAGTTTAACCACTGGCATCACAGAGATGAACGTCAATGGCATCCATGAGAAGAAAGCCAGTGAATTCTTCCAGAGTTTCATGGAGGACGTGGAGAGTCTCCAGGAGTGTCTGGAGGATGTGGCCAGTAATAAGAAGCCCATCTTGGGGCAGAGAGGGGTGGACGACGTGCTAGAAGCAGGGAAGGTGATTGCCAGAGCTGGGGCCATCGTAAAAGGCATCGACTCCATAGTGGACTGTGCCTCGGCTCTGAGTGTGAAGGCCCTTGCAAAGGAAGATCTGATCGCAAGCGCTGGTAAGTTGGCGCTCCAGGAAGGCAAAGCAGCACGAAACCTGCCCAAGCTAGCAGGGGACATCCCGGACATTGGACAGGTGGCCAAAGGCACCCCACTCGCCCTCTCCAGCTCAGCGCGGGCTGGTTTCATCACCCTCAACGCCCTCTTCATTGGCCTGGATGTTTTCTTCATCTGTAAAGACAGTGTGAGCCTGGCCAAAGGCAGCAAGAGTGAGATCTCCCAGCTCATCCGTGCCAGAGTGGCATTGTGGCGCACAGAGCTGGACTCCTGGCAGAGGATTCATGACTCGCTTTGTAGAGGAATTTGGAAGTTCAGGAAGTGCCAGAGAATCCTGGAGCAGCCTTTTTACCCTCCTGGAGGAGAATCTGAAAGAGAGAAAAAATTGATGTGTATGACACAGTAGGACAACATCAATGACTTACCAGTTTGAAGTTAGGGCCTCTCAAACATACTGAACAGTTGCACATACTGTACATTGCCTATCTGTCAGTAATTTTGATTATGCATTTCACTTGATTCTCCTTTATTTTTTCATAATTGAATGAAATAAATAAAAATGAAGGCAATTTAATGAAATGTATCCAGCTTAGCACTTATTCAGAGTAGTCTGTTTAATGTCATGGCCTTTTTCCAAGGATGTGTTCAGTCAAAATACTAAAAGTGAAATGTAATAATGTTTCTATGATTGTGCTGCTGACATGTACCTTCATGCACAGAAGACTCATCTTCCTCACTTTACCAGAAGTTGGAAGACGTCTTGCTAACAGGCAATGAAACATGTTAGTGCAATTTATTCTGATGTTGACTTGTGTGAAAAGTTTTCTATGAGACGTTATGAAATGGAAAGGGACTGATCATGTCTGGCCTTATTTGTGTTAATAATAGTAGGCCTAGTTTCTAGTGTTCTGAAATACCTTGACAATTTAATACCAGACATCAGCGTGAAGCAGTCTGTAGTCATATAACTTATTGTAATGGTGATTCTAAATCATCCTAAAACATGTGAGTTCCCTATATGTAATCCTATATGTACAGAAAGTGTAAAATCCCTTGCCCATATAATTTATCTCTGGACTTTTCTAAATGTTGCATACAAGGAAACAAAAACAGAAGGACTCACATAGGACATCCTGAGAGGCAATATCTTTTTACAGCCAGTGTCTTGCCCTTTCCCCAGTGTAGCCTTGGCAACAGTCAAGTGTGGTAATGGCAGCAATACACACACACTGTAACTTTGATAATCAGAGCTATTTTCAGAACTATTAGGGATTGCGGCTATAATGATTCATATTCACATTAATAACAGAACATCATGCAAATTGATCAGACATTCAAAACATGCAGAATGATGGGAATACAGAGTTGTACTGCATGCAGATAAGTTCTATCAAACAGTAACATGGTTCTATCAAACTGTAACGAGTCAGTAATGATACATTTCCATCCAGTTCAGACTCAGAGATATGTAAAACTCTGATGATACAGTGTTTGTCTTTGGACATCATGGTCGGCCCTATCCTTTTGGGGGGCCTTAAGATTTGGTTGGGCCCCACCCCCACCTCGCAGGTAAAACATTTTAGTGGCCCCCCTCTTGTGGCTGAGAGAAAAACAAAAGTTTTAAAATAAATTACTTGCAATTCTACACATTAGTATAGTAGAGAAAATGTTGCATTTTTAACGCAAGCTTTGTGCAATTCTAAACATATTGCCATGGGGCGGAGAGCAGTTTAGCAATTTTATAACATATGCAATTCTACTAATTTTGCCATGGGGCAGAGAGAACAAATGTGCAGTTTTACAGCAAATTTCCTTCAATTCTTTCCAATTTGCCATGGGGTGCAGAGAAATGTTTGACGTTTTAAAGCTAATTTCCTGCAATTCTACACATTTTGCCAAGACTTATGCCATGTTAATGATATCTGAGTGAGAGTGACTAACAAAATCAATGAGGGCCCCATGGAGGTCAGGGCCTCTTGGTATTCGGCCATGATTACTACAAGTTAAGAAAGCTGGCTAGCCTAATTTACCAACCAAAAAATTGTCAGCTGACATGGCTAATTTGATTGACAGTCAGTGACTGACATTAGAAAACCGCTGCTGATGCACAACCAAATCTCCAAATTGCACCGTGTCAAACACCCCCTCCGCCCAGGATAGCGTTGCCCACAGCACTCTTCCCCGCCTCTCTCCGATAAGGATTATTCGCAACCCTGAGACTACAGAGAGGGACTGCTTGGCCGAAATGAACAAACAGAATAACATAATTCTATTAAACAACCTTTTCTCACAGTATGTATTATAGCTGTGAATGAAAATCACTTATGAGATCATTACAATCATTGTATTGAGAGACTGTCAGGACAGTTTATCTGACTGCAGTGTGTTTTCACTTCCTGTTTCTAGTTTTGCCAGGATAGATCAAAAGATGACCTGGTTGAGAATCTGAGCTTCCAGTGTTCCATTTCCACCATGACCTCATCTGAATCCACTGTTTATCATACTTGTATGATATGGCAACACACAACCAGTGCCTTCAAAAATACTCCACTTTCATCAGAACTGAATGTATACAGTAGCTGTTTTCGCCAGTCCTCTCCCCTCCCATCTTGGGAAGTCTTGTCTGAATGGCTTACGGTCTATAGCCATACCCTACTAATCAATCTTTACTGTCCGAGGGATCTAAAGTTCACAGTGGAATTCCCTGAATGTTCCTCCAGCTAGACAACACTACTTTGGCAGGAAATAACAGTCTGGCTGTGTCACTGCCCCAAGCAATACTGTTTGGAAACAGCTTCTTTATTGTGCCTGAGGAAGACTCAACTTTCGGACACTGGCTCAGTACCTGATGAGTTGGGAGGGGTTGTTTCTGGACAGGGCCCTGGCGATAACGAAACACTCACTTATCAGTAGTAACACATCTCTGGCAAGCAAGATTGAACGTAAGAGCTCCCCTTTAGTAATGAATGAAGGTCATATTTGTCATTATGTGTGATTGTTGAAGGTCCTTCTCTAAAAACAACAGTCATTCTTTGGCAGATAAAAGCATCGACTGGAAGAACACCTTTACATTGGCTCAGCTTTGACCATGTGTTTGAGGAGCAGACGGGTGACATGCCTTGGTAGTAATCTGGGACATAGATCAGCAGTCTGACTGATGTAGCACTGCCCTCACCAACTACCCAGTAGCCATTCACTCAACCTGTATACAGAAACGTCAAGTATCTGTAAATATACCAGAATACTCAACTGCTATCAACCCTATATATACACTTCACAGATACCAAGCAGAATAGGAATCCTCATTACTCATTTTGATGACTCATGCCTGCTTAGTGTTTATTTTTTCAGTACGAAAATAATGATCTCTCCTTTTAGTAGGAGAAAATAAAAAATAAATGGAAACAAGAGCCAGTTTCACAGATCTTTATTTGAACGTAACGAGGGAGTCTTTTCTGTGTGGTGCAGGCCACCTGGTCACTGGTGCAATCGCCACACCTTAGGGTTCTGGTTCATCTAGAAAAACATGAGAGGAAGTAGAGAGAAAGGAGGGGGAGAGAAAAGGACATTAAATCAGTAAACATAAGTCAATCAGAATTTGGAAAACATATTGCACAAAAAGTCAACTATTAATCACATTACTTACAAACCATTAGACTGAGAATACAATCAAATATAAATCAAATTCAGAGACCACTACCCACACATTGTAATATATACAGTGAATTTAGAACGTATTCAGACCCCTTGAGTTTTCCCACTTTGTTACATTACAGCCTTATTCTAAAATGGATTGAATTGTTCTCCCCCCCCCCTCATCTATCTACACACAAAACCCCATAATGACAAAGCAAAAACAGGTATTTTGAAAATGTTGCACTTAAAAAAAAAAAAAAGGAAATATCACATTTACATAAGTATTCAGACCCTTCACTCAGTACTTTGTTGAAGCACCTTTGGCAGCAATTACAGCCTCGAGTCTTCTTGGGTATGACGCTACAAGCTTGGCACACTTGTATTTGGGGAGTTTCTCCCATTCTTCTCTGCAGATCCTGCACTGCTATTTTCAGGTCTCCAGAGATGTTTGATCGATTTCAAGTCCGGGCTCTGGCTGGGCCACTCAAGGACATTGGCATTGTGGGGTATTGTGTGAGTCTAAAAAAATGTCATCCATTTTAGAATAAGGCTGTAACGTAACAAAATGTGGAAAAGGGGAATGGGTCTGAATACTTTCCTAATGCACTGTAAACACTGTACAGCTACCACCTAGTGTAAGGTGGCAGTCCTCACCTTCCTCCTCCTCGTCCTCTTCATCATCATCATCATCATCTTCCTCATCTTCATCTGAGCTGAAGGTCCCGTCAGGCAAGCTATACACGCGGATCACTTGCTGTTGGCAAAAGCACACAAACACAAGATGATGATATTGACTCACACTCTAAGGAACACTAACATTTATAGGGCTCTGTGTGCAGACACGGTGTCAGACAATGGGGGAAATCAACTACAAGTTGCTCGGAGACAAGTACTAGTCTGGCAGCTCTCTACAGAAACAGTGAAGGGTATGCTCTGCTCCGTGGTCAAGCGTCACAGAGGCTCAGCAGTCCCGGGCTCACCTTGTTGGGGTCCTTGAGGATGAGGTACTTGCCCTCCTCCAGCTTGCGGCAGATGTCGATGACACAGCGCAGGATGCCCCAGGCGTTCTCCATGCTCAAGTTGATCTGGCTGGCAAACTCAGTGGGCTGGAACTGCTGGGTGCCCAGGACCACGTGGCGTGCCGAGTCCTTTGCGTGGTAACGAGACACGTACCTGGAGACATGGGAGGGAGGGGGATTTCACTGATGGAGGTTGGTTGAATTGTTTTACAACAGAGGATGTACCGAGCTATTCAATCAAATGTATTTATAAAGCCCTTTTTACATCAGCAGATGTCACAAAGTGCTTATACAGAAATCCAGCCTAAAACCCCAAACAGCAAGCAATGCAGATGTAGAATCAGGGTGGCTAGGAAAAACTCCCCAGAAAGGCAGGAACCTAGAGAGGAACCAGGCTCTGAGGGGTGGCCAGTCCTCTTCTGGCTGTGCCGGGTGAAGATAAGAGTACATGGCCATTAAGACCAGATTGTTCTTCAAGATGTTGAAACGTTCATAGAGGACCAGCAGGGTCAAATTCAACTGATAACCAAGTGAATTTGTAGACATTTGATGGGGGAAAACAGTTTGTGTACAGTATAGTTGCACTGTGTGTGTGTGTGTGTGTGTGTGTGTGTGTGTGTGGGGGGGGGGGGGTACTGACCCTAGCTTGAGGTACTCAGACCCAGCCAGCATAGCACAGCAGGTCCAGCGGGCCAGTTTGTAGCTGTTGTTCTTTAGCTCAGTGGCCAGAACAGCTCCTCTCTGAGAGTCCAGCTTCTGACGCCAGTCCACTCCATTACAGTGCTAAAGACAAGAACAAAACATTCAATAACACCATTAACCATTAGGGGGGAAGTTGACACTGCACGTCATCCCCAGTGATAGCATCAAATATCTAGTACTGTCCTCTTACCCTGGAGTCCCACTCATTAAGGGTCTTGACATTGATGAAGGACACCTCTCCGTTGGCCCCAGTCATCACTCCATCGTGCTCACAGCGTACAATCAGGTCAATGTCCTCCCCCAGCTTCCAGCGGCGGTACCTGAGACAGAAACACAGGTGAGTTTACAGGTCTACACAGCGACACCCCTCACCACTAACCCAGAGTATAGAGTCCTGTAGGACACAGATTACATGGATCCATTTAAAAACAGGAGTACCTAAAAAAAAAAAAAAAGACGACTTCTTAACATTTACATATTTTTACATTTTAGTCATTTAGCAGACGCTCTTAACCAGAGCGACTTACAGGAGCAATTAGGGTTAAGTGCCTTGCTCAAGGGCACATTAACGTCATTTAGCAGACGCTCTTAGCCAGAGCGACTCACAAATTGGTGCGTTCACCCTATAGCCAGTGGGATAACCACTTTACAATTTGGGGGGGGGGGGGGGGGGGGGGGGGGGGGGGGTTAGAAGGAATACTTTATCCTATCCCAGGTATTCCTTAAAGAGGTGGGGTTTCAAATGTCTCCGGAAGGTGGTGAGATGTAAATGAAGTGACTGTGTATAGACGGTGTGACTGATCAGACGGTCTGCAGTACTGAGAGAGCAGCATGAGAGCAGGGGTCAGTACCCACCTGTAGGCAACTGAGGCCACCTCACTCTTGTCTATGTCCTCCTCTACAAATGGGTTGGGGTTAGGGAACTTGTGCCTCTCCCCACCCTGAGGGAAAAACAAAGACACATCATCATACTATAACTCTATGAACTTTAAAATAATTAACATCCAAATAAGATGTATTTTTACAATGGCATAAAAGCATGGACTTTTTATTTTTTTCACATCACATTGAAGGAATGGCACTAGACATGTCCATTGGTGTATAGTTGTGGTCTTACCATGCGCAGACACTGCTGGCTGAAGTTATGGTTGATGTAGGTAGCCTCCATAGCCAGGTTACGGGGCGAGTTGAAGGAGTTGCCCTCGTCCTGTGGTGGCTCATTGGCAGTTTCACTCACCGTCAACAGATCTGACATTAACATTTACAAATGGTTAGATGAGCCGAATGCACAAAAACCGAACGCACCCCTAAACATTGGCATTATGATGACAAGAATACTTAAATATTAGTGAGTTGGATATTAGGTATGACTACTGACTCACTAGTAAATAAGACGTCCTTGACCAGTCAGACGGACCAACAGTTGAATAGATTTACTTGAGAAAGCCTCACCAAAGTCAGAGTTGTCCCTCTTGTCAAAGAAGAGCTTGTTGCCCACTCTCTGCACAATGATGTCCCAGGAGTTGACTGAGCGCGTGCAGCACATCAGGGTGGCCAGAATGGCATCTGTGGCAAACACGTTGCCCTGGGTCTTAGCCAACTGCAGAGGAGGGTATAGGGAAGGATTTACATCAGAGCAGAGAATACACTCTACAGGGCAGTGGACATTGTAATAACCATGTTTTTGTTTCTGAAATGTGTGAAACCATTTGTTCTGAACAAGAATGTGCAGACAAAACAACAAAAGGACTGAATCAATAATATGTTGCTCTGGCTTATTGTACCTGGCACAGTGCTGTACATGTGTGGAATTGAGAGTGTGTACCTTGCGGATGACAGGGTCGTCAGTGGTGGTCACTGTGTGGAAGATCCTCTTGATGCTCTTGAGAGGCTTCTCGTTGCGAGTGGTGACGCGGTCAAAGGCCTTGTCGTAGTACTCCAACGCACCACAGCACTCACTGAGGGAGAAAGAAAATCTATTGACTTTACGTGGATATAATATTGTCCTCCATGAAGTGACGTTGAAGGCTAGCTCAGTGCTGCCCCCTCTCATGGAGTATATCAAGTTGAAGGCCGACAGAGGTACTGCAGGCTGCCATTAGCAACTAGATTATTCTTATAAAACTTTGTCCGTGTGTGATTTTAAAGTAATCGGTTCAAGGACATACATCTGGTGAAATAGAAGCCATTATTGGTACCATGAATGTTTTTTTGTTATATCCACAAATATTGACCACGAAGATCGCCATTTCCCCATTCACTTACCTGGTTAAATAAAGGTGAAATAAATAAAATAAAATTCACTGTAACGGGGATCCTGTTTTCTGGAAACAATGCCTGCAGTACTGCGGTCGGCCTTCAACTTGAAATCCTCAATGCGAGGGGGCAGTCGTTCTCCCCTGGATTGAGCACAGATGCAATAAGTCACTCACATGTCAGTGGGGTCCTCCACCTCCATGTATCTCATCTTCATCAGCCTGGGGAAGTCCATCTCCTCCTTCACCTCCCAGTCACTCCGGACCTCCACCGACGAGTCCCGGGGCTTCAACTGGGCCTTGAAATGAAAGGTATGAGGGGGGAAAGGAAAGGGGGTGAGGGGGGAAAGGAAAGGGGGGTGAGGGGGGAAAGGGGAGGGAGGAGAGACAGGCACGTATGGTAGCGTTAGCAGGTGTTTGGGAAGACTGTTGCCAGAAACTTTATACGACTACATCAGACGTTATCTGAGGAGTATCACAATATGGTTCAGATGTCAGAAGGTGCACTGATAAAACAGTCCACATTCATCGTTGATCTTCCCATACCTGGGATTTCTGGTCCCACTTCTGACGGACACCAAACTGCTTCTGGAACTTTTTCTGTAGACGCATGCGATCCCTGGACAGAGCCACATTAGATTAGACAGAGGTATAGAGAAAACCAGAGAACGACATGCGTTTTAGAAAGCCACATTAGCAGTGGATTGGTTAAACAACTGCATGCAGCTCACCTCTCCTTCTGCTTGGCACTCTTCGGCAGGGTCTGCATATTGAACTGGGTCAGGTTCCTGCGGTCCTTGTCCCTGCGCAGATTCCTCTGTAAAAACAGAAAAAAACATCATCCCGTTATAGAAAAGGTGACACAGAAAAGCCTTTTTGGGGTACTGTGTGTGTGTGTGTGTGTGTGGTCGAGCAGGTTAGTCTTGTACCTGAGCAAACCTCATGCGGTTCCTCTGGTAGGCAGTCTTCTGCGTCTTGGCAGTGTCCACCAGCTGGAAGCTCGTCTCGTCCTCCTCATGGAAGTAGGCATACTGACTACCACCCCCAAACTGAGATGAGTACTTGTCTGTCAAAACAATCAACCAAACGTCAAATTATGGCATCCATGGTCTGAAATACCTCAAAATCAATACTGAATATAGACATTTAGAATAGGCAAGATATTCTGGATAATGTTTACACCATATCATGTTATTATCATGAATCCTACAATACAATTTAACCCACTTGTGTATCTCTTGTCCTGGTAGGTTGCTCCAGTCCAATCAGCTACCTGCACAGATGGACAGAATAAAGTAGATCAGTCAGCCTAATGTCCTCCTCTTGAAGCAGGGCAAACTACTGTTCATAATTAAAAGTGTGAGGCAGCAGAGGAAGACCAACCTTTCCCAGACGGTCTCCTTTGCTGAAGGGCTGGTAGGGCATGTCCTTAAACTTCTCAGGGACAGCACAGGGACCCCATCCAGAGGGATTGTCCTGGATCTCAGGGGCGTGGAACTTCGCCATGGTCTGAGGTTAGGGCAGATGTTGTAAACATGTCAAACGAAACGCAGATTTGAACAATATCTAGTAACCTTATACTATGTATGTTAGATTGAGATTAAGTGTACATACGAGGGCAAGTGGATTATAAGATTAGTAAACTAGGCCTCAGGGTCTCAGACAATATCAATGAACAGCACTGTTTTCACTCAGCAATGCACTAACATTAGATAGGCATTTCAGTTTGCGCAGTGGCCTAGTCATCACGGACCCAGGAGACATTACCATTGGATTGCTAAGAAACTGCCATCGATATACTATTTACATATTGTATACGTAATCATCATGCAGCGAATGCACTGTGTAAACTATAGCTAACGTCGTTATCTACAATCCCCTGGCCTAAACTCGCTAACGTTAGCCAGCTAGCATTATATTAGCAGGTGACCTAGTTAGTTAGCTAACAAAAAATGTCACAACACACAAATGTAGTAAGGGGACATTAATCGGGGACATCAATGAGTGAGCGTAACTACGTTCTGTTCCCATACGGACACTATAGCAAACTAACCAGCATGCTTGCTAGCACGTTAGCCAGGTGGCAGATAGCAAGTTGCTAACGGCGGTGGCAGTAACGTCCTCTCGAGTACATCTCACATTATGTTTACCCTAAACATAATTGTAAACATGACATTTTCATACATCTTTATATGTCTTATTGGAATCTCACCTTGAATATTGGGACGACCAAACGGCAGCTTTTATTCGGCCAAACCGCCGAGTCACAATTTTCTTCTAAAAGCGCCTTAGAAAAAGGAAGTCGTAAAGAGCGCTTTTCCGGCAGACTAGACGCTTTGTTGCATATTGCTGCGTGTCACAGGTCGGAGTGTGAATTGCAGATTTTGTTCTTCCTAGGGTCCACACAAAACATGACATAATACAGAACATCAATAGACAAGAACGGCTCAAGGACTGAACTACACACATTTAAAATAAGAACAATAGAACAAAAAAAGGTCCTGCTGACAGTTACGCACATTACTGACAGTTACTCACACATCAGTACATATACACTACCTGTCAAAAGTTTTAGAACACCTACTCATTCAAGGGTTTTTCTTTATTTTTACTTATTTCTACATTGTAGAATAATAGTGAAGACATCAAAACTATGAAATAACACATATGGAATCATGTAGTAACCAAAAAAGTGTTAAACAAATCAAAACATATGTGAGATTCTTCAAATAGCCACCTTTTGCTTTGATGACAGCTTTGCACACTCTTGGCATTCTCTCAACCAGCTTCATGAGGTAGTCACCTGGAATGCATTTCAATTAACAGGTGTGCCTTCTTAAAAGTTAATTTGTGGAATTTCTTTCCTTCTTAATGCGTTTGAGCCAATCAGTTGTGTTGTGACAAGGTAGGTACAGAAGATAGCCCTATTTGGTAAAAGTCCATATTATGGCAAGAACAGCTCAATTAAGCAAAGAGAAACGACAGTTCATCATTACTTTAAGACATGAAGGTCAGTCAATTCGGAACATTTCAAGAACTTTGAAAGTTTCTTTAAGTGCAGTCTCAAAAACCATCAAGTGCTATGATGAAACTGGCTCTCATAAGGACCGCCACAGGAATGGAAGACCCAGAGTTACCTCTGCTGCAGAGGATAAGTTCATTAGAGTTACCAGCCTCAGAAATTGCAGCCCAAATAAATGCTTCACAGAGTTCAAGTAACAGACACATCTCAACATCAACTGTTACGAGGAAACTGTGTGAATCAGGCCTTCATGGTCGAATTTCTGCAAAGAAACCACGACTAAAGGACACCAATAAGAAGAAGAGATTTGCTTGGGCCAAGAAACACGAGCAATGGACATTAGACCGGTGGAAATTTGTCCTTTGGTCTGGAGTCCAAATTTGAGATTTTTGGTTCCAACCGCCGTGTCTTTGTGAGACGCGGTGTAGGTGAACAGATGATCTCTGCATGTGTAGTTCCCACCATAAAGCATGGAGGAGGAGGTGTAATGGTGTGGGGGTGCTTTGCTGGTGACACTGTCTGTGATTTATTTAGAATTCAAGGCACACTTAACCAGCATGGCTACCACAGCATTCTGCAGCGATACGCCATCCCATCTGGTTTGGGCTTAGTTGGACTATCATTTGTTTTTCAACAGGACAATGACCCAACACACCTCCAGGCTGTGTAAGGGATATTTTACCAAGAAGGAGAGTGATGGAGTGCTGCATCAGATGACCTGGCCTCCACAATCCCCCGACCTCAACCCAATTGAAATGGTTTGGGATGAGTCGGACGGCAGATTGAAGGAAATGCAGCCAACAAGTGCTCAGCATATGTGGGAACCCCTTCAAGACTGTTGGAAAAGCATTCCAGGTGAAGCTGGTTGAGAGAATGCCAAGAGTGTGCAAAGCTGTCATCAAGGCAAAGGGTGGTTATTTAAAATATATTTTGATTTGTTTAACACTTTTTTATTTACTACATGATTCCATATGTGTTATTTCATAGTTTTGATGTGTTCACCATTATTCTACAACAACTTTTGCCTGGTAGTGTATATATACAGTGCATTCTGAAAGTTTTCAGACCCCTTGACATTTTCCACATTTAATACGTTATAGCCTTATTCTAAAATTGATTAATTCGCCCCCCCCCCTTGGCTGTGTGCTTAGGGTCATTGTCCTGTTGGTAGGTGAACCTTTGCCCCAGTCTGAGGTCCTGAGCACTCTGGAGCAGGATTTCATCAAGGATCTCTCTGTATTTGCTCCGTTCATCTTTCCCTCGATCCTGACTAGTCTCCCTGCCACTGAAAAACATCCCCACAGCATGATGCTGCCACCACCATGCTTCACCGTAGGGATGGTGCTAGGTTTCCTCCAGACGTGACGCTTGGGATTCAGGCCAAAGAGATCAATATTGTTTTTATCAGAACAGAGAATCTTGTTTCTCAAGGTCTGAGAGTCTTTAGGTGCCTTTTGGCAAACTCCAAGTGGGCTGTCATGTTTCTTTTACTGAGCAGTGGCTTCCGTCTGGCCACTCTTCCATAAAGGCTTGATTGGTGTAGTGCTGCAGAGATGGTTGTCCTTCTGGAAGTTTCTCCCATCTCCACAGAGGAACTCTAGAGCTCTGACAGAGTGACATTTACATTTACATTTACATTACATTTACGTCATTTAGCAGACGCTCTTATCCAGAGCGACTTACAAATTGGTGCATTCACCCTATAGCCAGTGGGATAACCACTTTACAATTTTATTTATTATTTTTTTTAATTTTTTTTTTTTGGGGGGGGGGGGGGGGGGGTAGAAGGATTACTTTATCCTATCCCAGGTATTCCTTAAAGAGGTGGGGTTTCAAATGTCTCCGGAAGGTGGTGAGTGACTCCGCTGTCCTGGCGTCGTGAGGGAGCTTGTTCCACCATTGGGGTGCCAGAGCAGCGAACAGTTTTGACTGGGCTCAGCGGGAACTATGCTTCCGCAGAGGAAGGGGAGCCAGCAGGCCAGAGGTGGATGAACGCAATGCCCTCGTTTGGGTGTAGGGACTGATCAGAGCATGAAGGTACGGAGGTGCCGTTCCCCTCACTGCTCCATAGGCAAGCACCATGGTCTTGTAACGGATGCGAGCTTCAACTGGAAGCCAGTGGAGTGTGCGGAGGAAGGGGGTGACGTGAGAGAACTTGGGAAGGTTGAACACCAGACGGGCTGCGGCATTCTGGATGAGTTGTAGGGGTTTAATGGCACAGGCAGGGAGCCCAGCCAACAGCGAGTTGCAGTAATCCAGACGGGAGATGACAAGTGCCTGGATTAGGACCTGTGCCGCTTCCTGTGTAAGGCAGGGTCGTACTCTCCGAATGTTGTAGAGCATGAACCTGCAGGATCGGGTCACCGCCTTGATGTTAGCGGAGAACGACAGGGTGTTGTCCAGGGTCACGCCAAGGCTCTTCGCACTCTGGGAGGAGGACACAACGGAGTTGTCAACCGTGATGGCGAGATCATGGAACGGGCAGTCCTTCCCCGGGAGGAAGAGCAGCTCCGTCTTGCCAGGGTTCAGCTTGAGGTGGTGATCCGTCATCCATACTGATATGTCTGCCAGACATGCAGAGATGCGATTCGCCACCTGGTTATCAGAAGGGGGAAAGGAGAAGATTAGTTGTGTATCGTCAGCGTAGCAATGATAGGAGAGGCCATGTGAGGATATGACAGAGCCAAGTGACTTGGTGTATAGGGAGAAAAGGAGAGGGCCTAGAACTGAGCCCTGGGGGACACCAGTGGTGAGAGCACGTGGTGCGGAGACAGCTTCTCGCCACGCCACTTGGTAGGAGCGACCGGTCAGGTAGGACGCAATCCAGGAGTGAGCCGCGCCGGAGATGCCCAGCTCGGAGAGGGTGGAGAGGAGGATCTGATGGTTCACAGTATCAAAGGCAGCAGACAGGTCTAGAAGGACAAGAGCAGAGGAGAGAGAGTTAGCTTTAGCAGTGCGGAGAGCCTCCGTGACACAGAGAAGAGCAGTCTCAGTTGAATGACCAGTCCTGAAACCTGACTGGTTTGGATCAAGAAGGTCATTCTGAGAGAGATAGCAAGAGAGTTGGCTAAAGACGGCACGCTCAATAGTTTTGGAAAGAAAAGAAAGAAGGGATACTGGTCTGTAGTTGTTGACATCAGTGGGATCGAGTGTTGGTTTTTTGAGAAGGGGTGCAACTCTCGCTCTCTTGAAGACGGAAGGGACATAGCCAGCGGTCAAGGATGAGTTGATCAGCGAGGTGAGGTAGGGGAGAAGGTCACCGGAGATGGTCTGGAGAAGAGAGGAGGGGATGGGGTCAAGCGGGCAGGTTGTTGGGCGGCCTGCAGTCACTAGTCGCAAGATTTTATCTGGAGAGAGAGGGGAGAAAGCCATTGGGTTCTTGGTCACCTACCTGACCAAGGCAATTCTCCCCCGATTGCTAAGTTCACCTTTTCATGGCCGCAGAGGGTTCTCATGGGAGTGTTAGGGTAGGTGTCTAGGTGTT